AGTTCGAATCCCAATTACGACATGTTCAGTTGTGTTTATAGAGTTCTATCTGCCTTAAATTGTACTATTCTGGAAGTCCTCAGTTGGCTTATCAATTCGGCCAAATGAACATTTTTCACCTGATTAGTTTATATGAATAACTTAACTAACAATAATGACAGTGGCTGAGCAACTATCAATAAATGCTTTTTTTATCTTGATATTTAGGAAAACAAATATCAGATAAATTGTAATAGGATCTTTAATAAATGAATTTATGAATCTTATTTTAAAACAAATTGATTGTGTCTGATTAATACCAAGAACTAGATTATATGGAATTGATCACAAATTTGCTTAGTATAAATATTAATGTGGTTAGTGATGGAATTCAGAACTTGAGTTTCATCCTATTTGGGACTCTTCATGACATAAGACTAAAAGTATATGTCTGGTGCCTGCTACTTATATTAATATAAGTAGTATATGGCGGGAGTCAGGAATGTAATGTCTGGCAGCAGAAGATGGGTAAGATCAAGAAAGGAAAAGCGAGGATAAAAAGCAAATAGTATGGAAATGCAAGGACGATGAAGTTCGAGACAATTATTGAACATTTTGCAAATTAAGTATTATAGTATGGTTTTTCTATTTTACCAAGTAACTCTGTAATTTTGTGTTAAATATAATTCGGTTGTCCTAACCTGTGTTCTCCTTCACTACATATGAAGCTGCGAATTACTTTTGATTATCATGATGAATGAAATAAATTGCCAGAATTTTAATTTTAATTAGATATTCAATAGAAAATTTATCGGATAGCGGCCGGCTCAGGGGTCTAGAGGTTAAGCGTTCGCCCACGAGACTGATAGGTCTTGGGTTCATAGATGCGCACTGCTGAGGAGTTCCACAATAGGATGAAACGACCATCCAGTAATTCCATGTTTTCCATGATGGTCTAGCTTCAATTGACTCATGATCTCAACTATTAAAATTAAGTCAATATTAGTTGAAAATTAAATAATAGCAAATATTTGTACTTTTACAGGAAACAATATATAAAATTTAAACAGTTGAGATCATGAGTCCATTGAAGCTAGACCATCATGGAAAACATGGAAGCACTTAACGGGCGTTCCGTCCTATTGTGGGACTCCTCAGCAGTGCACACCCACGATCCCGCCTCGAGGGATTCGAACCCAGAACCTATCAGTCACGCACCAGGCGCTTAACCAACTAGACCAGTGAGCCGGCATCCAATGCTGTTAATGTCTAACTTCAAAATTGCTTCAAAACGAAAAGAAATTTTTTTGTGTGCTTTCTTCTAAAAGTTTTTAATAAAATCAGCATTGAAATTAATTAGAAAGATTGAATTTACTCTTGTGCATAGTAACAAATTCATTTTAAAAATGTCAAATGAAAAGGACCACGATGAGTTTTCACTATTAATCCAAGTAGAAAAACGATAACAGTAATAACAATCAATCTGATTATCTATTTAAAGCATTTGATAAATATCCTTTATTGTACATTTCTATTCACTTGTAAAACTAATCTTTACTGTTAAGATTCTGTAGTTTTCCAATGAATATTATGCTGAATAATTTTAAATAAATATAGTTGTTTTCTTATAAGATATCTAAACTTACTCAATGAATTCGGGGTGAACTGTAATAGTATTCAAACTAAAAACTAGACAGAATAACGGTGCTTCTAGGTCAAATGGTAAAACTCACGTAGAAACTTCATATTTTAGTTAACTGAATTATTTTTTTTGTGTGTGTTTCTGCTTGGATCACCCTGGTTATCTACATATAACCTAGATTAGAAAAACAAATTTGTTTAGTTTTTGACAGTAAAGCTTTTTGTTCTTTCAAGTACTTGATCGGAAGTACATACTGATACATACTGATATAATCTGATTTCAGGTCATAGGATTTTACTCCAAAAGAATGTTTGACTGGGGTAATAAAAAATCTATGGCAACATTGAGTAAACAGCCTTTTAACAAATAACATTTCTCAATGTGAGGCTGTAAAGATTGTTAAGTTTTTGTTTGAGATAATGAAATGATGAATTTTAGACCACTATTGGAAACCTGAAAACACTGGATTGGTTTAAGTTAGACATCAACGCCGTTGGATACCGGCTCAGTTGTCTAGAGGTTAAGCGATCACGTGTGAGACCAAAGGTCCTAAGTTGGAGTCCCGTAAGCAGAGTCGTGGATGTTCACAGCTGGGGAGTCCCAAACAAGGACGAAACTGCCATCCATTGCTTCCAGGTTTTCGGTGGTGGTCTAACTTAAATCGACTCATGATCTTAATCAAAAACATTTCATCACAACACTATGTTCATAAATTTGGTTGTGTCAGTTACGATAAATTTTATATTAAAAATTTCTTTTATGAAACTATTGTAGTATGGGCTATTTATGCGGACAGGGATAACTAATATGTAGCAGGAACTGGAAGTGAAATACTTACCAGCAGAAGATTGAAATGAAGAAGAGAAAGGAAAACAGAGAGCAATTGGACTAATAACAGAATTAGAAGAATGATGGAGTATGTAAAGGACAAGTGAAGGAAAATGTGCAGATGATGTAATTAATGTATGACTTTCATATTTTACTATGGCACTGTGTAATTTACATAAAACGGTTATTTGGTTTTTCCCACCAAGACTTCGTTCACTACACTATGAATTGTGTTGAACAATACTTATACATAGTGGATATCATCTTATGTTTAGGTACAAATTAGGAATCAGTGCATGATCTGCTCAATAACCATTATGCCAAGAATGATAATATTCAAATGGAAACTTTTTGAAACACAGAAAGACACGTAGCTAAAAATGTATATAATATCAAGTCATAGTGAAACTAATGAACAATGAGAGTTTTACTACACAACCGTATTGGATTATTTACCAAACATACCAGATATTGTTCGATCAAAATTATACTAGAAAGTTAGATATTTTTTCCTTACTGGAATATTCAAAATATGTCATTGATATATATATATAGATAAAATCCACCATATATTAATCTTATTCAGTGTACTATTGAAAATCAGAGAGCACTAGACAACTGTTTTCTCTTAGTATGGAATTCCCGAATAGTGGGAGCTCACGGCCTCACCAAGGGTCGAATTCGTGAACCTTCAGATCATATGACGAATATTTCAATTTTATAATCAATAAGCCGACGCCCAAAGTTACAATTCCAACTGAAGGTACTTTCCAATAAACCACAACGATCATCTAATACCATTACTAGCAACTGTCTCACTCCCAACATTTCTGAACTCTACGAGCCATGACTCCTGACTACAACTTCAGGGACATCTTGAAGTAGGCCATTATGTACACTGCTGAAGAATCTGATACTAAAACGAAATAGTTATCCTATGCTTCCTGTTTTTTTTAAAGGTATGACAAATTAGATCAATCTATGATAAATATTCTTTACAAATTAAGCCGATCTTCAAAAAGCACTTACAAATATCATTTACATAGTTGGAACTTACCATGATTTTTCTGTTACTTTGTAGTTTAGAAAAAAATTAATGCAAATAATACCATGGTCAAACGATAAATTATTAAAACTATGATTATTAGTAATAGTTCATATGGTTCCGCCAATATGGCCCACACCAAGATTCAATGGATTCTTAAGATCAAGTAAAAAACAAATATTTAATCTTCATATTTCAGAATCATCAGAATAGAAAATGAATAATGATTCACTGTTTGTTAGGAACATGTTATAGCCCAAAGCCGCCAATTAGAGAGCAGTGAATTATCGATCGGACCAAGGACGCGTAAAACACGTACGAGCAGCCTAGAGTCCTGATTGGCCCTGCTTTCCACCTAGCCCAGCCAGTTAAGTCCCGAACACCAATCTCAGCCTCTGCAATATGAATCATTATATATCAAACATACTGAGTTTATATACCAACCAAATAGACCACAACGTAGCATAAAATAGAAAATAACATTTGTACAAAATATGGCCAAATGTGGCTGTGAATGTGGGAGTCAGTGACTAATCGACAGGGTAAAACGTATAATAATAGTTTATAGGTCAAAATAAAGCTTATACTAAGGGGAACATGAATATGAATAGTTTGGTTATTTAACAATTATACGATAAAAATTGGTCCAAAATTTGGTCCATAAAAGGATCCCAAAGTTAGCATTCATTATGTTTCTCGAAACCTAAGAAAACCCAAACTATCTATATTTTGTAAGTATCGAAGAAAATATTTTAAATTTAAACAAAAGATACTGATCAATAATGTGTTCCTACTAAATTTCAAATAAAATGTTTTAGATACAATTATAGATATTAAATATTCCTCATTTGTACTAATTTACTTAACTGTTATTTCATAGATTGAAATCATGAGTCAATTGAAGCTAGACCACCATGGAAAACCTGGAAGCACTGGACGGTCGTTTCGTCCTAGTATGGGACTCCTCAGCAGTGCGCATCCAGCGGAGTTCAACCAGGTCTGTTGTGAGATATCAGCTCACTGAAGGCATTGTTGTACGGTGGCGCAACTTCGTGGATTGGTTGAAGTTAGACAATAACAGCACTGGATGCCGGCTCAGTGGTCTAGTTGGTTAAGCGCCTGACGCAAGACTGATAGGTCCTGGGTTGGAATCTCGCGGGGTGCGGGATCGTGAATGCGCACTGCTGATGAGTCCCATACTAGGACGAGTTGGCCGTCCAGTGCTTCCATGTTTTCCATGGTGGTCTAGCTTCAATTGACTCATGATTTCAACCAGTGAAATTTCTAAAATCTCCACAAACCCCTTCTGTTAACGGTTATTATTACTAAGATTTGTATTTAGACTAACATTTAGATAAGTTAATTCATGATTAATCGTTCTGTCATTATATTACATGTCAGTTTAATATTATATATTCAATGAACCAATTAGAATTTAGTAACTCAAGGTCATTGGTTAAATGTTTTCATTTTCCTTAATAAAGAAAATTGGACTAATCGATGATTATTTTCACAAATCGTAATATTCGAATGGATAGAATTATAATATGAACAAATCTATTTTAGATATAAAAATCAAATTTAGAAATGAAACTTTTGAAAATTAGGATATTTCTTTTTTAAAAAATTTATTCAACATTAAATGTGTCCATTTAATTCGAAGCGGTTTTTTGAAGATTTCTTATAGTCATTTTCAATAGTTCAATTATATAATTATTTTTTTTTTTTAAAAAAAATGTTGAAATAATAGGAATGAATCAATATGAAAAGACAAAATGTTCGAACACTTTCATTAATTGTAGTAACATTTACTTATTTATTACTTGGTGCAGCTATATTTGATGCATTAGAATCAGAATTTGAAATAAGTGAAGATGTACGCTTAAAAGAAAATGCTGAAATTTTACGTATTAAATATAATATAACAATTGATGATTTTGAAAAAATTACACAATTAGGTATACAAATGAAACCATATAAAGCGGGAACTCAATGGAAATTTGCTGGAGCATTTTATTTTTCTACAACAGTTATCACTACTATAGGTAAGTTTTTATAATTGAAATATTTGATTAATATTATTCAAGTTTTGTTATTGTACATATTCGATAGTAGATTTTAAGTAAATGTTAAGATGTTAAAGATAAAATATTAAGGTATAATAAGAAGATTATTCTGGCAATCAGCTAATAATAATGATAATCTGACTGTAGACTAAAATTAAGTAGCAGTTATAGTATTAGAGTACACTTTACCAAACATACTAATGAATGATATGCTTCGAATACACGAAACATCAGTTATTGACATAATTTTCAAAATGTCCTATGTATGTCATAATCTTTGAAAATAAACAATGAATCCTGGTAGATCATTTATTTAGTCTTCAAAAGGTTAATTTGGTGGAAATATTAGTTCACTATCTGTATAGTTAACTTCATATTAAAAATATAACTTTTAGGCTAAATATGAGATGATGGAGGAGATTTGTAGCTCAGGTGGATGATTTTGATGGAGTTTTATTCTCTGATCTGGATGGTTTGGTTAGGCTAAATATGGCAACAATGATAATTCATCTGCAAGTTATCTATTAAAAAGTCCCTAACATCATGAAAGTAATCATATTCAATGGTAAGAAACTTTTTCAGAAAAAGGATCATACTTGATCTGTTGATTCAGTGACTGAAATTCTTTTTGAAAGTTTTATGTTTTTTGATCTGGATGACTTTATCATAGTTTTTGTTATCTTTCTAAGCACTGTCATAGGCCCTAACATCAGATAGAAATGATCCATTACAATTTCTCCACAACTGAATAAAAGCTTGTTTTGTTGATGTGGAAATTGGCTAATTTTTGTCTATAATTATGTTGTCATTTTTGAACATTTAATTTAATTTTTATCCCCTGGCCTAATCTCTGATTTTGTAGTTGTTTAACATTTTTCTTATTGGCTGAACAATTGGGTCAATTTTCATATTTCTGTTGATTTATGAGCTATCTGAGCGTTACGCTTATAAAAATTCCCTAGTTTTCTCTGTCCAATATTTTTTACATTTTCATTGTCGAATTTATTTCCGTAGTTTTCCGTATTTATTTATATGAGAGAAGGTATTCGTTGGGGTTTAACAACTAGCTGGTATCCAAGTAAACTCAAACTGATAGGACGGCCACCTAGTTCAAAGTAATATTTATCGCGCTAGTTGCAGTTTATCCTGAAGAGGTTATTTATTCTGTCCTACTTTTTTTGTTGTATTCTTTGGCCTAAGTAATATTGACTGAAATGATATGGTGGAATTGTGCAATATACATACTTCTGTAGGCCTTAAAAACCTATTTGTGATCTCAGTAATGTTCATCATGTAGGGTATGATTACCGTTTGCTAATTTGTGCTGCTGATTTTGTACTTGTCAATGATTTTGGTAAGCATTTCTTAATGTAGTTTTGTGGCTTATAGAGTCTAAGGAGTTAAAAAAGGAAATTCTTTTATCATATTAATATACTCTGCTTTAAATAATCCTATCTGCTTTTACGTGATCCGATAATTTCATATTACCAATAAAAGGTTCTAAAGTTATAAAAACCGGATTTATTATCATTCGCTAAAATCTATTGGTTTTTTGAATAGTATACTTCAAAAGTACCGATTGATTATACTCTCATATCCAGTGCTGTGTTTTATTCAAGTAAATAGATATTCATTAGTAGTCTTTTAGTATTAAATGGAATTTTTGTTTATATCTGTCATTGTATATAAGTGTTAAATGTGTTGTTACTTACTTATTTAAATTATTTATTATGGTTAGTGTTTTTTAGCAATGTTGTTTTCTACGGGATGGGGTTACTGACCCCATGCCACACCTTCCTACTTTACCTGAGCTTGGGACCGGCAGTAACCCTAGAAGAGTTACAGGCATAGTTTACATGTGCTGCAACTGAAGTGATTGAATTAGGTAGTGACAAAAATCAAACTTTATTTAGCTATCAGTAATAACTTAAGTAGTTTGTGAAGAGTATTTAATTCGCAGTTGATGTTTTCCATGATGTAATTACTGTCATTTGGAAAAGTACTCAAAAGTAGCTGTTTAGGACTTCTCGGTAGTTTACGTCAGCGACCCCATACAGGAATGAACTCAAGGAATCGAACTATTATGATGAGTATGGCACCATTGAGTTATTAAGTTTCAAAATGAGAAAATAATTGGCCTGAGTTAAATACTGAGAGAACTTTTGAAAGGAATAATCGACCATGTGCATATGTATACTGATAAATATAAAAAAATATAACTATCAGTGTACTGTTCTTATAGCAGTCCAAATGATTGATATAATTACTGAGATGATTAAGTCAATCAAATTTAAAATTTATCTACTGAACTAATCTTCCAATTTCTATCAAACCTAGAGACTATTAGATGTAATGAGACCACCGATTAGCTAACTGACTAGATATTGTTTCGACTGACAGAAGTGAATGATAACTAGTTATAATTCTTTCCCCATCTTAAATTATTTGGTAAATAATAAGTAACCTATAGTTATACCATTTTTGTAAAACATTTTGCACATAAATTTCAACTTTAATTCCCCAATCTATGTGCACATTCTCTTAGTTGGCCATTGGCTTTGTTTTTAAACATCTTAGTTTACAGATGGTGGTCATTCTTGCGAATGGATTGATGATTTAGTTATTTGAACCATTCCAGTAAGTGTACCAATTGACAGAGGCGTCATAGCATTCGGAGAGTTGATAATTTAGTAAACTAAAGTATGCGAAGTTAAAAAGGACAAAATTTGTCAACAGGATTACATACTTTTTACGGCATTTAAAAAAATTATCCGTTTCATTTTATGATTGAAATTGATCCGTACAAAAGAATGGAAAGTTTATTTGAGTTTTAGATAAGATCAGCTGATATACTAAGAGGAAATCTTTGTATGGCAAATGAACCTTATATCTCATTCAATGTTCAGTTTATTCGATGAATACAAAGCTAAACTTTATAAAGAGTATATTGTTGATAATGTCAGAAATATGGTTTAAGCTTTGTTTATCTTATATTTTGTTAACTGAAACAGTAGTTGAAAACTTGAGAAAATAATCAATTGACTATAATTAATAATTGTCCCCGTAATGTTTTAGATAATAATGTTTCTGAGATTGATCGTATTTTTTGATTGTTTGTATGCTAACCTGTCACCATGGAATACCTTAAGTAATTTAATCATAAGTTATTTCATAAACAGAGAGAAAGCAATTTTATAGCTTGTTAGACAGATCTACTTTCTAAATGATTGTGTGGTGTATGCTACTTATGCCTGTTGACATAAGTAGTAAGTAACACCAATCAGAAGTGAAATGCATGGCAGCAGAAGGCTAAGGTGATCGAGCTGAAGAGAGTAGAAAGAGAAATGATGGAAATTTGCAAATGAATTTTTCAGTGTATGAAGATATTCTGTACATTTCTGCAGAACAATAAGCTGACTGTCCCTAACTAAGTGTTCATTCATTACAATTGCACAAAATCTATGATCAAACAGGTTAACATGGGATAAGAACCATATCTTATATTCACTTTCAAGATTGACAAATATTTCATCCTGAAATATACTCTATTTTGCTATGGATTAAAAGTTCAAAATGCCATTTGATTTGACAATGAAATGTAAACAGTTAGAAAATACAATAAAATTTCAACTTTATCTTCAATTGTAACTTTTTTCTGTTGTTTTGTTGCTCTAAACTTTTCTTCTATTTTTGCATTGATCAGTAAAATTTATCATCTGTTTTTGACATATCTGTTTAGTATCATTATATGTGAAAATTATATTTGAAATAATCTCAGTGATTGAAATTTAAAATAATTCCATATTTATTGATTTATTTGAATACATGAATATTGGTACGAAGGGGCAAGGAATACATATGCACCACACAAGTCACTTGATTTGTATATGGGCTGTGATACTGCTCGGGTGCCCAGACCGAAGCAAGTGGTTTTCTTAGGGAGCCTTTGGCCCAAAGGTCTGATCCACAAGGCAGTGGAGCAGTCCCATGGTTGCCACCATTTTTTTCTCCAGGATCCTGGGGCCCATGTGCACTAATGGTTTGGGATCAGGGTTTTCCAACTCCCGTAGGTGGATCCTTCATATCCATCAACCCGGTTAAAGCACCGGACATTCGCTTTTCGTCCTCTCAATTTCATAAATAACACCCCTGCAGCGAGAATCTAGTGAGTAGGACTGCCTTGGCAGTGACTGTATGCACGTGGCCATATTAGATCATTTCGAGAAGGAGAGCTGACTCTCCCTACCCTTGGCCGTATCAGGGCATAATAGTCGGTGTTAATGTTTTTTCAACCTTCAACTTGCACTTTTATTTTATATTATTTATTCCTTCATATTATTCTGTTTACTAAAGTCAACATCCAAATATGATTGGATTAGCACAGAATAGACTTGATTCGATTTTTAAAGGCTATATATTTCTTTAATGATTTTGATTATCATCCTGAAGAAGCCTAGGCAAGTTTGCTGGACGAAACATTCGAACTCTTTTAATTTTCAATCGCCGAGATTATTTGAAATACAATTTTCACATATAATGACTTCACTATACTCGGCGCTCAATTTTTGTCAAACTATTCGTTCTAATATTGACTAATATTCGTATAAACCTATTTGATAATAAAAAATCTAATAGTTTAATTCATGAGCTAATTGAAGCTAGATCACCATGGGAAACCTGGAAGCACTGGAGAGACATTTCATCCTAGTATTGAACTCCTCAGCATTATGCATCCACTATACCGCCTCACGAGATTCGAACCCAGGACCCAGCAGTCTCGCGCGCGAGCACCTAACCCCTCTAGACCACTGAGCCGGCTGCTATCCAACGGTGTTAATGTCTAACTACAACCAATCCACGAAATCGCGCCACCATCCGTCATTGTGTTCAGTGAGTTACTATCTCACAACAAACCCGGTTAAACTCCACTGGTCACTGCTTCTCATCAGAACTCCAGGAAACACCTCATGGAGACAGTC